CCTACCTGGTAGGCAATTACCGAATGACTTAATAACATCCCTAGACACTTTCCTGTTCACTCCAGTGATTGTTGTAGACACAATATCTTTACTTACCCACCAAAGTGACAGTTAATCAAAACAATGGGTCGGGTTTTCAAAACGTTCGATCGAACATTATCAAACAATGTTTATATCATTTTTTTTTAATGGACACAATTATCAAACAATGTTTATATCATTTTTTTTTACTGGACACATTATTATGCTCGCTAATTTAATAAATTAAATTTAACGTTTATTAATGAAAATAATAAACTTCGTTTATACAATTATTTTTAAGGAACACCCCTAACATAGGATGGAATTATTGCTATTAGGGAGGGATGTTATTCAACGTTTCTTGGCTGGAAACAGTTTCAGAGCGATCTTGAAGTAAGTTGGGAAGCGTGAGCAACTGTTCAAGGGATTATGTTACATTTCCGATGCACTGGTTGGATAGTTCTAGCAAGAATAGCGGTTGAAGACATCCCCACTTTCATATACACTTCAGTAGCCATTGTAGACGCTATATGTACATACCTGCCTACCTGACAGATCGAGCATCAAAGTGTTTATCAAACATTTATCAAACAATATTTTATTCATGTTTTTTATCAAACACATTATTATAATATATTCAAGGGATCGTGTGATGTTTCCATCGCACTGGTTGGATTCCAGCAAGACTAGCAGCCGATATAAGATAGCCTTTTTACATTACTTCTGACAAATCGTTCAAATTCACTGCATGTTGTCATGCAACTGAAGGATATTTGAAACTTGAACATGGTGATGGTATTGAGATAAAACTAAAAGTGAAAGATTCCAGGGAACGTTGTGTTCTAGCAAACTGGCAATGAGATATCCCATAATATGGGAACTAAGAACATGACACTCACAACGGTATTACACAAGCAGTGTGTCGGGTAAGATAGCTCCGCTGTTAGCAATGCACGTTTCAATTAAAGAACTGAAGATTATCATTAGAAAATGAACAATATGTATAGTAACAAAGCAATCAGACTTGCTGTTTTCAACAAGAATTTGAAAATATCACTTTTTACCAAAAAAACTACAAAAATATTAATCAAAATTAGATAATTGAAGATATCATTACAAAATTAACAAATCTGAGAGAGGTCTGCATGATGTACCTCCATTTATAGTATCAAAGCAATCAGACTTGTGGTTATTAACAAGAAGTCGAAAATATCATTTTTTACCAAAAGTGACAAAAATATTAATTAAAATTAGTGAACTGAAGGTACCATTACAAAATGAACAAATGTGAGAGCGGTCTACCTGAGGTACCTACATGTATATTTATAGTATCAAAGCAATCAGACTTGCGGCTTTTAACAAAATGTCGAAAATATCACTTTTTACCAAAAATGAAAAGAATATTCATCAAAATTAGAGATTTGAAGATATCATAACGAAATGAACAAATCTGAGAAAGGTCTGCCCAAGGTACATATACACCAAGTATCAAAACAATAACAATAGTAGTTTTCAAGAAGAAGTCAAAAAAGTAAAAAGTTGGTGCGAACGACGGACAATCACTCATATGATGTTCCGCTTGACAAAGTCGACAGCGTTAATGGATCTTATTTATTGTAATATAACAAAAGAATCAGTATTACATGCAGACTTTTCTTGTGTGGTATCTATGTGCCCTCAGGATGTATCCGCAGATCAACTAGCAGACATTAGTGTTGTGCTTACCCGCCACAACTCACCCTCAGATACGCTTTTGAGGGTACCAATACATACCTCTGTTGTGAGTTATTACCGAACTAAATGTACAAAATATTTAGAATTGAAAAACAGTTGGGTTTGTAAAATTTGTGTACTATAATTATTCAACTTTCAATTTCGCGTTTTGATCACAACGACCATTTTTTCCCTGAGTCGATGAAAACAGAATCAATGTTATTTTAGAATGTTTTTTTATTGGGTTTTGTGCGATAGTTGGTCTGGTATTATCTTATAAACATGGTGTGGCTTGTGTCGGGGTAATAAAGAAACATGGATGAACAGAAATATTGTGACTCTTGTCTTTTCGACACCGATTTTCAGTCGAGAAATCGGCGTTGAGTATTGTTGCGGGACAATGCTGCTTGCAGGAGAAAGTGTGAAGCATCATGTGTGAAGCAATATTCTTGTCAGCAGGTGCAAAGTCTTTACATACACCTAACTACCGACAATTACTGAGTGACTTTGCAACATCCCCACTTTCATATACACTGCAGTGGCCATTGTAGACGCTATATGTACATACCTGCCTACGTGACAGACCGAGCATCAAAGCGTTTATCAAACATTTATCAAAAAATATTTTATTCATGTTTTTTATCAAACACATTATTATAATAAATTCAAGGGATCATGTGATATTTCCATCGCACTGGTTGGATTCCAGCAAGAGTAGCGGCCGACATCAGATGGTCTTTAATATTGTTGTAAAAAACACAGGATCTGAAGGATATTTGGAACTTGAACATGGTGATGGTTATAGAGATGAAACTAAAAGTGAAAGATCCCAGGGAACGTTGTGTTCTAGCAAGGAAGGTAGTAGGAATAGTTCTATCAAACTGGCAATGCAACATTCCATTATACAGCAAACTGAAAACGTGACACTCACAAATATCAGCAAACTACCAATTAACAGAATTTGCAATTACTAATTTGCTTGTTAATATTTATTCTCGGTTTCATGTTTAAAATACCGACCGCAATCAAACTTATTTAGATTCCTAACCTCCCTCAGCACTGAATGAATATCTATTGAGTCATTCCCCATCTCCCAGTATCACAAAGTGCGTACACTCCATCCCGACGTTCAAACAATAGGATACTAAATGAACGATTGAAAATTCACCCTGACAACTTTGAACCTGGACCTAGTTTCTTGTTTAAACCGTTCTATTGACCAATAAATCCATACTGAAAACCAATTTTACTGCTAGTTTAATGGATTTTATTTATTGTTATAAAACTAAAGAATCATTATCACACGCAGAATTGGCTTGCGTGGCATCTGCGTGCCCTCAGAATGCACTCGAAGATAAACACGCACACATCAGTGTTTTGGCTTCTGCATGCCTGCACAACTCACCTGCAGACATGATTTTGAGGTACCTGTACATACATGTACCTTCCATTTCAGAAATTTTCTTATGGTCGATAAATCGAACATTTTCTCGTGCAATAACTCATTTACCTCCACTCTGAACACCCAATGTTCAGTAAATGAATTAAGCAACCTTAACAGGATAAAATATTTGTTGAGTAAACACTATATTAATTGAACACATATGGCACCGATATTTATGATATACGAACAATGCCGGGTTACCGCTAGTATTATTTGGAAGCAGATTGGTGCCAGTGCACTGCTACAGCAAGCGGTCTTTTTTCATACAAAATCAACAACAACTGAAACACGAGTACCTGTTGTGAAAGTATATCTTTATCTGCTAGACATTTTGTAGCACACCGTTATTCTCGAGCCATATTTTAGATTGTAATCGAGAATTAATGATCCTGCTGACCTAAATTGAATTGTAAAGATAGAGACAGATGGTGCATAAAATGCAGAATATGTTACCAAATCGAATGTTTTTAAAGCAAATTAAAGATTACACATGTACATGTGTATATCTTATGTTGTTTAAAAAACTTATCATTATGGGTTCATACATACATGTATGCCTATACTGAAAAAATAATTGGGGTTAATTTTTTCAGAAAATTTGCATTTTTGCACTGGTTTTTAGGGTTAGCGTATTTTCATATCTTGTAATGTGTACAGGATGAAAGAGTCTTATATTAATATTGCATATGATTCCGAACATTGGGGAAATAATTAAAAAATTGACATTTAATGAGTTTCCAGTGTAATAACAGCATACCATTATTGGTACCACATTTAGTATAAACAATAGGGAAGGGGGGAGGGGTTTACTTCCCATAGTGCTTTGCAAATATGAATATAATAAAATATTTTTATTGAAATCATAAAGAGTGAAAGTGAAAATCAATCAAGCAAAATTTAAAACAAAAGGCAGTATAAAACAGCTGATTCAAGATTGAGCTGTACGTTGTTTACTCGAGCTGACTACTGTAAAATGCTTTATTTTCGCTTGGAGTAAATTTTCGCTAAAAGAATGATTCAGTGAAAATAACATCCAGCGAATATACCCTTTTTCCTATATTTAACATTCAACTCATAAACAAGCAGCCTGTCAGCTATTAGCAAGGCACATTTCAATTAAAGAACTGAAGATATTTATTAGAAAATGAACCGTATGTATAGTATGTACATGTATAGCAATCGGACTTGCTGTTTTCAACAAGAATTCAAAAATATTTCTTTTCACCAAAAATTACAAAAATAATCATCAAAATTAAATAATTGAAGATATCATCATGACATGAACAAATCTAAAAGAGGTCCACATGTAGTACCTATATATGTAATATCAAAGCAATTGGACTTGCGGTTTTTAACAAGAAGTTGAAAATATTACTTTTTACCAAAAATGACAAAATATTCATCAAAATTAGAGCATTAAAGATATCATCATGAAATGAACAAATCTAAGAGAAGTCTACCCAAAGTACAAATACACCAAGTATCAAAGCATTTAGGCTTATTGTTTTCAAGAAGAAGTCGAAAAAGTAAAACATTGACAGGGACGACGACGGACGATCACTCATATGATAAGCTCCGCTCGACAAATTCAAATTATTTGAAAAGAGTACACACATTGCAGGATACATTTTGTAGTAGCGAGGCGGCACCCATTTTCACTGCCAAAATTTATCCATGTACGTATGAAGGTCTCAGCATATAGGAAATATCAAAGGACATCAAAGCAATGACCTTTATATTTCCATAAGGTTTAAGCCCTACTTGTATGTCACAATAGAGACAGGATAAACATCACATTACACATGTGATGTGATGGACTCACCTTCAAGTCTCACACTGCTTGTGTTTTGTACCAATAAGAGATAAATCAGAATAACTAGAGTTCTTGTCATGGTGACGCTTCAACTCACTCCCGGAGACAAGGTCACACTCAGAATACTTGAATACGCAATGTTGTCATATGATCAGACAAGTTTCTGAAAGAAAAGCAAAACAAATCAAAATAAAGTTACAAATGATACATGGAACATCTGCAAACAATTGAATTAATATGTACTCTACTTTCATTGACCCAGGTCTAAAATCTCAAAGTACACAAGTGCAACCAAACTAGTCTCATACATGCTCAAGAAACTGCATTCATAAATCTGAGTAAACCTTGATGTAATCAATCTCTGCATAGTCCTTGAGTATGTAAGTACCAAGTTTCATTGAAATGTAATGCTTACTACTTATATCAAAAGCTGAAAATTAATTAATTATGCAAATTAGGTAATTATATGTACTGATATTACCATAAAAACTCTCAGGTCTGTGCAGTGTCATATGACATCTATGTACCAAGTTTCATTGAAATGTGATGATTAGTACTGGAGATATCAGTGGAAAAACCGAAAATTTACTAATAATTATGCAAATTAGGTAATTAGTATCCACGGATTATTACAAAAAACTAGTCAAAACCTAGCATTAGTTCAGAGCATCTATGTACCAAGTTTCATCAAAATCCAATGAGTGGTTGTTTAGATATCAGTGGAACAGTCATGGAACCACTAAAAAATAGCTAATTATCATGTAAATTAGATAATTAATATGCACGGATTTTTACCAAAAACTAATCAAATCTGCGCATATGTTCAGAGCATCTATGTATCAAGTTTCATCAAAATCCAATGAGTGGTTGTTTAGATATCAGTGGAACAGTCATACAGCTAAAAATTAGCTAATTATCATGCAAATTAGGTAATTAACGAGCATGGATTTTTACCAAAACCAAATCAAATCTGCGCATTGGCACAGAGCATCTATGCACCAAGTATCATCAAAAACCAATGTATGGTTCTTGAGATAGCAGTGGAACAGTCGAACACACATACACACATACAGACACACTAACTGCAAAAACTCCCATTATGTGCTTCGCACATGAGAGTCAAAAATCTGGGTTTTAAAAAGTCTTGAAAAATATAATTTTTCTTTAACATTGTGTTCTATGGAATTGTTCTAAAAATAGAAATTTTTTATCTAGCCTGGTGACATAGACTGAAAAAAATCATATATTGTTAATAATTATTATATAATTGTTAATAATTATTTAAAAAATCTGGGTTTTAAAAAGTCTCAAAAAATGCAATTTTTCTTTAACATTGTGTGCTATGGAATTGTTCTAAAAATAGCAATTTTCAAGAAATATTAGGGCACATTTCTCAAAAAGCATAACTGTAACACACAAAATAATGCAATTTCATTGTACCATGAGACATTAGCTTCATGATTGTACATAATAAACTAATGAACATTATCATGCGATTTATGACCAATTTTGTCAAAAATTATGACTAGACTTCTACCTTAAAAGGTCAGCTTTTCGGTGATTTTAACTGTATATTCTAAATAATGAACAACTTGAACCATAATTGTCTATTTGAACAACATACTGCTTATACCCGTCTATGTCACACGAGGTATGAGAGGAAGTATCATTAACTTTGATTGCTTTTACACGGTAGAGTTTATTATTTTGATGTGGAATCTGTATCTGTGATCACACGACATTGAATAGAAGAACTCCTTAATGAATGTGGCTTGACGACTGAGCTGTATTTTATCAGGCGTCACTGAGCAGGTTCAATTTGTAGACTTATGGATAATGCAACGTCTCGTAGTATTAACTCGTCTAACACCGTTTATTGTCAACTGACTAAAGTTTAGAACAATGCAAAAAAACTACATTCTTGAGCTTGTGAAAACTCCAAAAGAAGTATGTTTTCGAACAGTAATAAAGTTGGCGCACTGAAACCAATAGGGAGCCTCTTTCTGGTACCGGTGTCTCTGATTGGTCATATTTATCGGTAATATTTAGCGTTCTCGCTGCATCCAACGCCAACAAATTCGGCACCCTCTGTTCTAGATACATGTACATGTATGCCCAGGCAAACATAATGCTGAATATTAATTTGGAGTGTACATTACAGAAGCACATTTCAATTCTTCCCCTTTACAAAGTTAGCTAAACAAGTTTGAATATAGGAACCAAAACCATACAGTATTAGCCAATGTGACTATTTAAAAACTATTTCCTCCTTATCGGTGGCCCAAGTTACATACTTGGTATCAGCTAGGGAATTTCCCTGTATCAGCACTGCTGTTTTCAAAGAGGCCATGCAGTAAAAATTTTGTAGGGATCCTGGGTCAAAATGGAATCTCCCAAAATCCAAAGTCCATTAAACTCATCACCTGTTGAAAGGTTCCATGGATAACCAAAATGAATGGAAAAAAAACTGTGTCCGCTGGCAATGTATTAAAAGTATGATAGCTTCCGTACTATACACATTCACTGTAACTGTAATTTATTATTGAACAGAATGAGATATTGGACATAGATATATGGTACATTGGTTGAAATGTAATGTTTCTTTACCAATACATGTACATATCGTCTTATGAGGAGGTAATTAGAACTTTCACCCACAACAATAATATATACATACATGTACTGTTAAATACTTTTAGCTGAAGGAATGATTCAGTGAAAATAAAATCCAGTGAATATACCTTTTTTCCTATATTTCCATTCAATTCATCAGGAATCAGTGAAAATAAATTCCATACAAAACACCCGAAACGTCTTTTCAGCAAAAATTAATTCCTGCTAAATTAAAGTATTTTACAGTACATGTAGAAGATGGGAGCAAAATACAATTATCAACTTTCCTGGTTGCTAGGTTACCAAATGTGCAGCGACCACGACAGAAAGGAGAGGTGCAATTTTGTAACCAGTGGTAAAAATACAGTTAATTTCATAAAGGCATGAATGTTTTTTAATAAAAAAATTATAAATGTTAAACTTGATCAATCACAAGGTTAATTAACACAGAGGTAAATTAGGCAATAATTGAAGAAATTCATTACCAAACGATTTTTGTAGTCAATAAAAGCGCATTCTTTGATTAATATAACAGGTAAAATGTTTCACAGATATTTTATAAATTTCCATGAAAATATTCATGCTTTCATGAAATTCACTGTATCAAATGTTTTATTTGTTCTGCATAAAATGTAAAATACATTTTGTTTATATGGTACAAACATTTTGTCAAGTTGCAACTTAGATGCCTAGGATGAAATCAACATGTTTGGTACAAAAAGTAAAGATGGTACGATCCAATATCTGCCCCCATTTACATAAGCCTCATGGATGCGCCATGTCAGTTGATATAGCTCTACTGGTCTCGATGAAAACATGTATACAAGCAACAAATAATACTCACAGGAAACTCTACATTGGGCATAATGTCAGAAAATTAACAAATCTATAAAGCACAAACCATCCAAGGAACCTGCCGAATACTAGTACACATGGATGATAACGATTAGTCTTTTGGTTATGAATAAATTAAAATGATAAAGTTGACACCACCTGACCTGAACCTGCTCTGCTTTGTTGTCAGTTGAGCTAAAAAAATAACTTATGTACTGCAAGCAACCTGTTTAAATAAATCCTAGTTTTTTTTGTATGATATATTCTATTATTTTATTTTGCTTTATTATTTATTTGCTGGATGTTCTATAAATAGGTTTAGGTAATCGTGAAAGTCCACAACGATGAGGCAAGTGAGATGAAAACAACATAAAATAATTTGTATGTACTAAAAACACCAAAATTTCAATCATTTGCTGGATCTATTATGAATTTTTGTTTAATTATTAATGTTTTTATTATATTTTAATATATAAATAAATAAATAAATAAATAAAAAGTAAGAAGTTTTATATCGCCATTGTGCTAAAAATATAAATAGTACCTTCAAGCAGTTGATTTTATTGAACATTAAAAGGGCAGCGGTCGTCCTGTTCGATATGGGACTCATAGTGACGTATACAAAGCGTGTAAAATAGATCGATTAAATGAAATTCAAACACACGCTGCAAGACGAGCATCATCCTTTATTTCTAGTGTACATGAAATAAACTGAATATTTATAAAATAAGGACTTTATAAATCATCATAATTAATATAATAAATATATTCAATATATTAAAAACAAGAATAAATCAAGAGACAATTGGAAAATGTGTGCAGGAATAGACACACATAAAATGAAAACTTTATTGGCTCCAACAACTAAAATTAAATTAAATGTCACTATTGGTGAAACTATTTTTAGAAAAATTTAAAAGACTGGAAATGAGAAAAATGTTAAATGTTACAAATGGGTTTAGAAATGAGTTTAGCAATGGGTTTAGTAATGGGTTCATCAATGGGTTTAGCAATGGGTTTAGTAATGGGTTCAGTAATGGGTTCAGCAATGGGTTCAGCAATGGGTTTGAGTGAAAATTTAAAAAATAAGTGAACTGTGGGATGATCACAAATTGCAAAACAATTTTCTCAAAACACTATATGCAAATAAGTGAGTTTGTAAAAGAACTGGTTAGTGTTTGTCTTGGACTGTTTTTGCTCATACATGTTGTGTTTTTAGTTGCCCAGCGTGCATTTGGTATTTTTGGCCATTGGGAAAGGAATGAACATCTAACTCATTTCTGTTCCTGCAATCAAACCTTAAATAATTTATTGAGTGATGCTATTGGACACTTGTACATGTTAATAGATGCATGGGACAGAATAGCATATCACTGTGCATGGATATCTACAAAATTACATACCCCTATATTTTATCTCTGGTTTGAGTAAACAAATCTGGATTAAATGGTTATGAGACAGACACATCCAGGATAAACTATTGCTACAGAACATTTACACGGCAGCATTCTATCGGAGCCGAACTACTGCTCCTCCCACTGATTAACAGTAGATTATCTCCAATGCGTTTACACGGTCAGGGCCGAACAAGAGTCGTCATATGCCAGAGTTCAATTCAGTTCAATCTGAGCC